ACCTGTTCACATGTTTTTGTACGAGTAGATTCGGTACGCAAACCTTGGCAACAACCTTACGAAGGCCCTTTTCACGTGATCGCTCGTCACGAAAAGACCTTCAAGGTTGATCGATATGGACGCGTCGAGATCGTCAGCATTGATCGTCTCAAACCAGCACACGTCGATGACAGTGCCCTATCTGATAACCTGAGATTCAATGCTAGACCTATCAAACCTACTAGCGGGATCCTTAAATCTTCTTCAGGTCCCACGCTAGATACATCTGAGACCTCATTCTCACGTCCCGGTCAACAGCACGCGTCATCTGCACCGTCTACGGACGAGACGACAGTCTCACGTCCAGATCAGCAGACCACGCCGCCCTTGACTTCGGATGAGATTGCAGGCTCACGAGACGAACGAGACTACCGTCTCACGTTCCGGTCGCCGAGTACGGTTACCCGTACGCTTCCGCGACTAGCCGCACAGTTAACAACCGATACGGTGTAGGATTATTCCTATACTACACGCATGCTACACTCTTCTCTTTTTTGATTTTCTTTTTGTTTCCTGAGCCCACGCCTTCGACCATCTCCGTTTGGTTCCGTCGACTTCAGTCAACTTTGGCGAAAGCTGGCCTGATCACCCACGCTCTTGTCAACGTACTCAGTCGATATATTGGTTTCGAATGCTTGGCATACGCTTGGTCTCGAACTTGGTCGTTATGGTCGCTTCTGGTCTTTTGGCTCAACGTGGTTTCGTCCTACGTCTGCAGCGTTTCTGGTCCGCACCCTACGAACGCCATCTTCAGATTCTGGATACAAACCACTCTGGTGTAGCATGCCAACTCAAGCAACAAATACAGCACATCGCTCCTGGTACCGTTCTCCGAAAACGACCTTCGTTGGCAACTCGACGATCAACGATCGCTTTCCTGTTCGCCAATTCTTCCGTCCTACAATCGCTCGTCAGCCGATCAGTCCCACGATTCAAACCGCTATTTATCGAAAGTGTAAACCCTTTCTAGCGGGGGGCTCCTGTAGTGACTCACATTTATCACGAGAACACGACTGGTTTAATAAAAACAATTATTATTATAACCAACTGTACCAGTGTTTGTTTTAACGTGCTTTTGTTTGACTGTGCTAATGACAGCTATTTTGTGCTTCCATTCTTATACACACACTTTGATTGTAACTTCGCGCGAATTCGGTTACCTTCTGTAACCAAGGTTGTATCCTGGCACGATCTCGGTATCCTTTCGATGCCACGAGATCGCCAGCGAATACATATCGATTTGGTCCATTAACTGCCTTCTGATATTTGGCTTCTCGGGGATTTTATGGATTTATCTGGTTACGTTCAACCCTCGCCTTCTGATTAACTTGGCACGTGTTTCTTTGTAGCGGTGTACATAGTTAACCTCAACTCGACGCCACGCTACAGACTCTACATCTTCCAGAGTTTCGCCATCGAGAGTTATTGGATTGCTTTTTTCCGCTTTGAATTTGAGGACTTTGGTTTTCCCTTTGTGTATGCTGAGGCCTACTGATGCAGAGACTGTTGCTACACTGGCTGTCTTCATCTGCATCTGTTCGTGTGTACGTGATAGGAGGGCTAGGTCATCTGCAAAGTCCAAATCGTCTAATTGATTCTGAGCTGTCCATTGTATTCCGTGTTTTCCTTCAGATGTCGAGGTCCTCATAATCCAGTCGACCACCAGAAGAAAGAGGAAGGGAGAGAGTAAACAGCCTTGTCTGACTCCGGTCCTTACTTGGAATTCATCTGTCAGCTGTCCTCCATGCACTACTTTGCACTGTAGTCCGTCTTATGAGTTCCGGATAATATTGACAATCTTCTCAGGAACTCCGTAGTGTCGAAGAAGTTTCCATAATGTCCTCCTATCTACACTGTCGAATGCCTTTTCATAATCAATGAAGTTGATGTATAGTGATGAGTTCCACTCAACTGATTGTTCGACGATGATCCGTAGTGTTGCAATTTGGTCTGTGCACGACCGATCCTTACGGAATCCAACTTGTTGATCTCGAAGTTGGGCGTCTACTGCATCCTTCATCCGGTTCCGCAACACTCTGTTGAAGACTTTCTTTGGCATTGACAGTAGTGTAATGCCTCTGTAGTTTTCACATTTGCTCAGATCTCCTTTCTTTGGAATCTTGACGAGGTGTCCTTCTTTCCAGTCCATCGGCACTTGTTCCTCCTCCCAAATCTTTTTGAATAGAAGGTATAGCATGCTTGTGGTTGCTTCGATGTCTGATTTCAGTGCTTCAGCTGGTATGTTGTCGGGTCCTGCTGCTTTCCCGTTCTTGATTTGTCTGACGGCCATTCTAATTTCTTCCGTCGTTGGTGGATTGACATCTATAGGAAGATCTATGTGTGCTGCTTCGATGTCCGGTGGATTCATTGGAGCCGGCCTATTCAGGAGTTCCTCGAAGCATTCTACCCATCTGTTACGCTGTTGTTGAATTTCGGTGATTGGCTTGCCTTCTTTGTCTTTGACCGGCCTCTCTGGTTTACTGTATTTCCCTGCTAGTTTCTTCGTTGTATCGTGAAGCTGTTTCATATTTCCTTCTCTAGCAGCTTTTTCTGCCATCGTTGCTAGTTCTTCCACGTATTTCTTCTTGTCGGCTCTAATGCTCCTCTTCACTTGTTTGTTTGCTTCTATGTACTCAGCTTGTGCTTGGACTTTCTCTGTTCGTGTTCGGCTGTTGTTAATTGCTGCCTTCTTGTTCTTCCTTTCTTTGATCTTGTCCAGTGTTTCTATAGAGATTCATTCCTTATGATGGTATTACTTTAGGCCCAGAACCTCTTGACACGTTGAAGTCAATGTTTCTTTGATCCATTTCCAGTTGTCCTCCATACTAGTTTCTTCTTCATTCAGTAGATCTTGTAAGGCTTAAAACCTGTTGTTGAGAGCTATCTTGAATTCATTGAGTTTGTCAGTATCTCGAAGGAAGGCTGGAGAACAATAAAAAGTGAGGCTGATCAGCTGGATCTTCAAGCTGACTTAGATGGTTTAGTTAGATGGGCTCGAGGCTGGAGCTTAGAAATCAATGCTAGGAAGAGTGTACTCATGCACATCGGTCACGATAATAGTTGCCATTATACTATTGATGGTAAACCTCTTCCATGCGTTCAAGAGCATAAAGACTTAGGAGTAATAATAAGTCATGACTTAAAATCAACAACGCATTGCAGCGCAGCCGTTGTCAAAGGTTTTCGTGCGTTATGGTCACTTCGCCAAGTGTTCAAATCTTCTGACGAGTAAACGTTTCGAATTTTATATCCCATATATGTTAGAACACATTTAGAGTATTGTATCCAAGCAGCCGGCCCATGTCTGGTAAAGGATACTAACTCACTTGAGCGTGTCCAGAGTGTGGGAACGAAATTAGTGAAGGGTCTATCTAAACTCCCTTACGATGAGCGTTTAAAACGCCCAAACCTTTTCCCCTTGTCGTATCGTAGGTCTCGAGGTGACCTTATACTGGCATTTTGCATCTTTAATTATGATTTGGGTGTTAATGTGTCTTATGCTTTTGCTCCCTTCAGCACTAATAATCTCAGAGGTCATAGCAAGAAGGTCCACAAACCACGATCTAATAAACTTAAAGTGGCGTCCCGTTTTTCTCATCGAGTAGTCAATGATTGGAACGCCTTACCCGAACAAGTGGTATTGTGGTGTGAGCTACTTATATTGATATAAGTAGTATATAACGTGCGTAATGTCCGGCAGCAGAAGATGGCGAAGATCGAGAAAGGAAGAGCAAGAGCACAATGGAATTGTAAGGAAACGCATGTACAATGGAATGGGCGACAATGGATTAGTGTTTGCAACGGGAACAGTACAGTTTGATATGATGGAATGATATTTTGCAAATTGACGATTGACTTTATGGTATTCACATTTTATTGAGATAGTCTGTAATCTTTGTGCTAAATACAATCGATTGTCCCCACCCGTGTTCTTGTTCACTACATTTGGTGTCGCTGCCAACCAGGAGAGGAGGAGTGTGCTGTTCTGCGGACGCCGTTGCGGGCCTGGAGTTGGGGTGCCAGTTGGGGCAGTCTGGTGCGGAGAGGTGGCGTCTGGTGAAGTGTCCTGGCGGGGCTGCGTTGGCTGTAGCGGGTGCTGTCGACGGAGTGGAGCTTCGGGACGCGCGGCTGCTGGGCGGACATCGGATGTAGATGGCTCAGCAGGCCGGTGGAGAGCGGATGTCAAGCGTCCCAGGTGCCGGATGGATGTTGGTTGTTGTTACCCCGGCAGGTCGACAGAGCTGTGGAAGCCAGCGCGCCGCAGACTCGACATCTTGACGGAGAGCGTGGCACAGACTGCAGAGACGGAGAATGTTGCGCGGCGAGCATGAACCACCACAAGAACGACTGCCTTATGGGGGGGGACGAGTGTGGTGTGAGCTACTTATATTGATATAAGTAGTATACAACGTGCGTTTTTTTTTTTTAATGTCCGGCAGCAGAAGATGGCGAAGATCGAGAAAGGAAGAGCAAGAGCACAATGGAATTGTAAGGAAACGCATGTACAATGGAATGGGCGACAATGGATTAGTGTTTGCAACGGGAACAGTACAGTTTGATATGATGGAATGATATTTTGCAAATTGACGATTGACTTTATGGTATTCACATTTTATTGAGATAGTCTGTAATCTTTGTGCTAAATACAATCGATTGTCCCCACCCGTGTTCTTGTTCACTACAGTATCAGCCCTATCAGTGAATACTTTCAAGAAGAAGCTGGACCTTCACTGGAAAGCAATGTGTCAGGATTAATACATGTTCACCAATCTACTATCCTTATTACTAAAGATATTATGGACGTATACGTCCATATGTATAGAGATTTTTGACAAAAAAATATTTTAGAGTTGGGTCATCATTGTTCTTTCTACATACTGACATATTGTACTTAGTGTGCGCACATTGCAAAATACGTATTAACCACAGGATTCATATTACCTTGCGTACTTCTTTCAAACAGGTCTCAAAATTGTACCAATTTGTAAGTCGTCGCGATAACAAAATATTGTAGTGTGGAGTCGAGTCAAAGCTAACTATGAACACCACTACAAAGGAACACGTGTCAGGATATCCATAAAATCCCCCGGAAGCCAAATATCAGAAGGCAGTTAATGGACCAAGTCGAGATATGTTTGCTGGCGATCTCGTGGTAGAGAAAGAATACCGAGATCGTGCCAGGATGCAAGCTTGCTTACTGAGCGTAACCGGATTCACGCAAAGTCACAATCGAAGTGTAAGTATAATAATGGAAGCACAATGTAGCTGTCACTGGCACAGTTAAACAAAGAGCACATTAAATCAAGCACTGGCACAATTGGTTATAATAATAATTGTTTTCATTAAACCATTCGTGTTCTCGTGATAAAAGTCACTACAATATCCTTACTACACAAATCATTGAAGATTGGTCCTACATCGTGCATCATCACGATGGCATCGCTTTCGTTACTTGATAGATGGACGTTATCAGACAGCGTGACTGAGCTCTAGAAATGTCTTGATTTGACCGCTTCTGCAAAACTTTACGAGTAGTCGGGGCGACGCAACAATCATTTTACGATGGTTTGACCTTCAAGTGCACAGCAACCTCCGACAGAAGACGGTACTCCTAAGGCGTTGCATTTCAATTCTCTTTGTGGCGCACACCACTTTGATGAGTGTAGGTAAGTGGCTATCTGTCATCGCCTCGATAAAAACAACACAATATTCACCTTCGGGATTATCAAGGCACCTAAACTATACCTTACCATTCAAGGCGGTTCAAAACTGAGTACTGTTTCAGAACAGTAGCTATAGCTACCAAATGTAATACAGCAATTCTCGTATGGTGTTTGTGCCAGCCAAGCCCATTTTTCACTATACAATTGTATAGTGAGACACTTAAGTGTCTCATATCCCATTTATTCATAGAAATCCGTAAATAACCTCGATTTCAAAGATGATAGTTGTTTATACACGGTGAACGACTGGGTGATTTCATATTCACCCAGGTTGGCTGCGCTTATAAAGTAGCTACACCAACTAGTTTGTGTCCGTAAACAGCCATTTACCCTGTTAGTTTTCTTGGGGGTGACCTAATATTTTCAACACTCAGCACCTAAGTTCGTCTTTTTCTAATGTCCACATACACCGATCGAAAGAATGTTTCTTTTCAGTTACCGATATTACTCCGTCGTGGCAATTCCTTTTACGAAGCTATTTGAGAACATTCTATCCAACTGAGTCTGGAAATCTATGTTGACATTAAGTTTAGGTGCGTGTCTGTCAGCACTTGATGAGGAACCAGAGGAGCACTACATAGTTGGTTTTAAAGGTTCATGCTACTATTATCATTATGGTGCTCAAGGTGTGAATGACCAAGTAAGTTTTGAAAACAAATTATTTTAAGGGCTGGGGCTGTGGTTACAGAACACTGCAAACCACTTTATCTTGGTATAAGCTCACGAAATCCTGTCCTTTCGATGTACCTACTTTACTTGAAGTTCAAAATATATTGCATGAAATTGGGGACAAGCCCAGAGCTTTTGTAGGCTCTCATGATTGGATTGGAACATACGAATGTGGATTAGTAATACAATACGTGACAAAGGTAGGTCCTGATTCTTTAAAGAGGTGTTAGCATGATTTTAAGATAATACGTGTGGAAAATGGCCTTTTTACGGAGGAAATCATCAAATTGCTTGTTGATCATTTTCAAGCACACGGATCACCAGTCATGCTCGGTAAGTAGAAACCTCGTTTAACTTTTTAGGAGGATACGACGACAGTTCATCAAAAGGAATCATTGCAGTAAAAACGTTTCCTGATCAGCCAACAATGTTGCTAATTTGTGTAAGTTGGTTAAGTGATGTTTAAAACACTGATCAGATCTCGTTTGTGTTACGAACATGTGTGTAGATTAAGATTGATACCCGACAATTAAACCAATACCTAAAATCTTTGACTCAACAGTCTAACACTTTGTAAACTAAATGGTTTAAACCACTCATTAATTAATAAAATTACTACCAACAATATTCATCTTACACATAAATATAAGAGGAAGTGAATAATGCAAAACACTACCAGACTATACACAACAGTGTATATATTACTTAAGTGAATCCAAGGCGCAGCATCAGTGCAGGCTAAAATTCCATTTGCTTTTAAATATGGCGAAATGCTCCTAATGCTACCAATGAATTTGTATACACAAACCCAAACAGCAATGAAAGCTTTTGTAAACCTGAATCCGAAGTCCCAAATGTGGTTCTTCAAGTTTTGTTTGTGGATTTTAAACATTAGTGTTTCCTAAGTTATCAGCATGGAAGTCTGAAATCCACATCTATTAACCTAATGGGAAACTAAGAGTGAAAACATATCAATGGTCAAGGCGACTACAACCAACCAATACGCTGCAACTTGGTATCACGTAGTGAGGCGTAATATACTATTACATACATGAAATAGTTGAATCTAAATGACGATTTAATTTCGCTTTAGTATTTATATCCTGTGCATTTATCAAGTCTGATGTCTATAGAGTAAATATGACCTAAAGACCAATTCTTTTACTGTTTTTAAGGATCCCCACTGTTTTGAAATACATGGCAGCCCAACTATCGCTAAATTGTGCAAAGGAAAGTGGTTACGATGGTGCAAAGTTACTGAATTGTCAGAAAGACACTTTTATAATTTGTGTTTGCCTTTATGAACAAATACATTTATTTTATAAGACGGAGCTTATGGTATGTCCTTGCAGAATTTGTCATACGTTTCTTTGAGAATAAGATAGGAGTCCAAATACCGTTCTTCGTTATCGCGACAAGCAGCTTTCCATCTGCAAATTAGAAAAACCAGCGAGTATTCAATATGACCATGATATTATTACACAAAAGTATCTTGTATAAACTCATGGTATCAGTTTACACTGTCCCGAAAGCTTCACAGTGTGGTTTGACGGGTTAAACGTTGGAAAAAGACGACTACGTCATAGTGTGTATTCTACACGACAACAGATACTTCGAGAAATCCAAACTTATGGGACGTCTCAAATGGAAAAAATTAAAAAGGCAAAATATACCGCTTACACTCAATTTCCCTATTTTGGGGAAACCGTTATACAAAACTTTGGAGAAATAGCACAAAACTCCCATAATTTCCCCAGGTCAGGGAAAAATCCCCAAAATGCTTGGGGGAATTTAGGGTTTTTCCCAATATTCCCCCCAAATCTTATAACACTAGGGAAAACCCCAAAATAAGGAGATTGAGCATAAAGAAGTGTCGCGGAACAAGGACATTAGCTAACAGTTAGCATGGTGGGGTTAAGAATGTACTACAATCAGCATTGCAAACTGTACTTCAAATAAGTTCGCTAACCCGATATGATGATCAGTAGCAGACAGAAATTATGATCCGCAGTTTATAGAAAGACTGAATTCGATATTTTAATAGTGATACTTATATTTTGTCACGTAACTTTCTCTGAAATGACTGTGCGACAGGAGTTCGGTAATTCAATTACTCAGTAACTAGGTTAGTTCGACCTTATCGCCTCCAACAGTATTTCCATCTCGTTTTTATGTGATAACGATGACCACTGTTCAAAATGTTTGTGTGGTTTGCATTTAAGATGAGCCGTAGATATTAAGGTGAAACCAAACATTCGATCAAGAAGCATTTCAAATGAGACTAATTTGCAACAATTCGCCTAATAGTTACCGATGTAGTCAACAATTTTACTTAAAAAAGCTATTAGTCTGTAAGATACTCCATCACTTCTTGGCTAAACAGAGTTGATGTATTATGAAAGTATACATAAAATTGTCCGGCAGTTTAAAAAAGGTACCTACTTTCTTCGGATTTCTCTCCAACGGACAATGTGCTGTTCCAATAATCCTTCAGGAGACATTTCCTTAGGTGGGTTCTAAATGTTTTTAGAATGTTGACAAAAGCACCGAAAATTACCTCAACGTTTATAAGGAATGGCTGACCGTCCGATGGGAGAGGAGGCGGTATCCTGATGTCATTATCGGTCAATCCATCACTTGGCTTAGGTAGCGTGTAATGACAGTCAGGCAACTGATCACTGTTCTATATTAGAAATGCCAACAAAGACAAACCATCAAAACCAGTCCATACGGAAAGATATGGATAAAAATTCTAGGAAATGAGCAAGTACCATACACTAAGTAGTAGAAAAGACTTATTTAACAATATGGTAGGCATTTGTTAGTACACGTCTATAGAGGCATCGATGTGAATGGCTACAATATACAGAAAAATGCTCATTAATTTCCAGGATTGTTATATGAGATTTTAGTACATCGAAGTCACTGAAGATCCCACACTGCTTATAGGTTCACAGCAAGATTTTGTCACCAATCAAATATATCCATTATTCAGTGCCACGCGGACCCCAACCAAGTAGTCTGCACCTACCAACATGGCTCAAACCAGAAGTTGGTGACTTTGTGGACTGATGTCACGTTTTAGTTTGGCCGCCTCTAACTTTCCTCAACACCTGTCAACATTGCGTGTCGTGGTAATCGGTGTTCGTGCATACGTAACACGTGGCCGAACAATCTCAGTTGATGAATATTTGCAAACTCACCAACTGATTTACCATCATTCCATAATACTCTACGTCTAACCTTACTATTACTTACCCGGTGATCCCAGCAGATGGGAGCAATATTACTGAGGCATCTGTGGCCAAATACTAGTAGCTTACGAGTATCTTCCTAACGTTTCGCATCCGCAAAGTAGAACAGAACGAACTGACGAGCAGTATACTCACTTTTTTTGATAGACGCCATAGGTGACGTAATTTGGCAAAAGCCAAACGAGCTCTTCAAATCCGTGCAGAGATTTCATCAGACACTAACCAATTTGGGCTGATCAGACTTCCAAGATAAGTGAAGTTGTCAACGCGTTCCACTACTTCACTCCCTATCCTTAGTTCAGGTGTTGACGCAGGCCGGTTCTGAAGCAACAACTCGCATTTAGAGGGGGAGAAATGCATCCCAAATATTCTGGCATTGTTGTTCAGTGCCACCAAAAGAATGCATTTTACCGGAATCTTCACCAAGCAAGACTATATCATTTGCGTATTCCAAGTCCATAAATGGACCTCCTGGTAGGAGACCAATGCCCGGACATTCAGTCGACGAGAGCGTTATTTCTATCAGTTTGTGTGTGATAAAGTTAAACAAAAATTGAGATAGTGGACAGCCTTGCCAGATACTACTTGAGGTTGCAAAAGCAGATGACAGTTCGCCATAAGCACTTACTCGACTAGTAGTGTTCGAGTAAAGGGCCTTTACAGGGTTTATGTACTTCTGAGGTACGCCTTTCAATGACAGACACTGCCACAGAATCTCGCGGTCTACCGAGTCAAATGCTGCTTTTAAGTCAAGAAAGATCACCATTGTCGGACGCCGATAAGTATGTCTATGTTCTAGAACCTGACGAATGGTGAATATGTGGTCGATGCAGCCACGACCAGGTCTGAAGCCAGCTTGATTCTCTCGTGTTTGCAGTTCACGAGTCTTAGTTAAGCGTTTGATAATTATCGAGGCTAGTATTTTAGATACTATATTAGTTAAACTAATCCCTCTATGGTTGTCACAGGATGATTTTGACCCTCTCTTATATATTGGGACGATAAGTGATTGTGACCAGTCAGATAGAATAACGTCTAACTCCCAGATCTTAGCTAAAATATTAGTCAACCTAATCGCTAAAATTGGACGGCCATCCTTAAAGACCTCTGGAGCCAATCCATCCGGACCAGCTGCCCTTCCTCGTTTCAGATTAACTATAGCCTTTTGAACTTCAACAAGAGTTGGGGACCTACTTCAATGTTCCATTCACACTGTCTGGGAATGGAGGGTAGTTGTAGAGTAGCTGAAGGCCAGTTGAACTGTTCTCTGAAATGTTCCGCCCATCGTTCTAAATGTCTGGACTGGGAGCGGATAAGAGTGTTGTCTTCCGAAATAGTTTCACTTACATTTGACTTCTTAATTTCGGTTTCTTTTGTAAGTCTGAAAAGCTGTCTGGTGTTACCTGCAGCCGCTGTCTTCTCCATCTCTTGCTTTCGTTGCCCACCACTGCTCACAGTCGTTCCTTAGACTTTTAGTTAACTTAGAACTGATTTGTTTTCGTTCTTCACGAGGATCTATCAGTACAAGAGACTTAGTAGAAATCCACTTGTTTTACGTAACCCTTTGGTTTGAATCACTAATAGATGTCACTGCTGTTTCCACAGCTGTTCTTACATCTATTCATGCAACATCTGGGTCAGCCTCGCTTTCACAACTATCTAAGTGTGACCTCAGTTGATTCTGGAATCTACTTTTGGCTTACTCGTCACTCAATTCAGTTTTAATGGGTCTTCTTAGTGTGGCTTTTCTGTGTCCAGTGAGGCCCAAGCAGATGCGGGCCGGATTAGTGCATGATCAGAGTCCAAGCAAGTATTTTAGAACGAGCGACAATCTTCTATCGACCCTCTCCAACGATGACTGATGGCAATATGGTCTATTTGAGTCTATCATTGGTTTGTTTCGAACCCATTATAGAATTTGAACATGTGAATAATGAATTTAAAAATGCCTTTGGATGCGCCTGTACTTTTCTACCCTACTTCACAGTTATACACCTTACCCAGCTTTCAATTATTCATGCAGCTAAAACGTTTGCGTTAAATGTGGTAACGGTTAGAGTGATTTTCAGGAAACAGATTCCCATCTTTTCCCAATCGGTAATTGATAATAATTTCTGAAATACAAAGCTCACCCTGTTCAGTAGTCAAATGAGGGACAAGGACATACTTTAGGATAAGTTATTAACAACGACCTAATATTGTGTAAAATGACATGTACGCTTGTCGGATTTGCCGTGTTTGTATAACTCATCTATTTTGTTGGTTGACTCTATTGAAAAGTTTTTACACCGTTTACCAGCAAGCCAAAACTAAATGGTAAAGCAAAGTTTCACTACTCGCTACAAAATGAATACAATACGATACAAAAAGAGCTGGGGTAGCCATTCATTTGTAACGTACTAGCTTTTAAGACCGTACTAAACAGTGATGATTGTTACTGTCTTGAGGAACGATAGAGATATGATGTTTATTGGTTCACAAAATAATTCTTACCAACTACGAATTAAGGAGTGCATAAGATATAACAGGACTATGATGGTGAGTTGATATGGTCAAAATGACACTGCGTGAGATATTGCCTTTGATCGTGAAAAGGGATCGAGTCCCAACCATCATGCAACTAATACGAATTGTAGTCTAGCAGCTTATTGTAGTCACACAGAAGCGGACTTGATAACGAATATGTCTTAGGAGAGATTTGAAAACCAGATAAGAAGAAACACAAGACGTTTGTTTGGATAATGACTTTGGACGATTTAAGATTAAACTGAGTGCGACATGAGGACAACAAACGTCAGAAAAACGAGATCCTAGATTTAATATGCACTTTATCAGGTTTCACGTTAACAGCAACATCTGGTAGCGGTACTCATTCACAAAGAACAGTAGCAGTCCGGAAACTAAGTACATTATTGTTATGAACTGTTGATACACTAACAGCTTATTGTGACCTTTTATTTGCTTTATTTGGTTATCTTTCATGGTTCACATGAGAACTGAGGGTCAGTTGAGAGTCACTATGACTGTACTAGTAATGATAATGATGAAAAAATACGGGAGGAATAGACAATACTGAGTAGTTCTCAATCGCAGATAAATCCGAAGTTAGACTGGTATACTATAGGACCCTGAAACTGGAAAAGTATGTGTACAAAGTGAAGTTACAGAAAAAGGTGGTGAGCCAACAGGTGTAAGTTTGTGAGGATTCATTTAGTTATCTGGCTAGACAAACTGAACACGAATACTTATTCAGATTAGTATAACAAATATAGGAATGAGTGGGTAGACGTTTGCAGACGGTTCAACCAAGACACATCCCACAACGTATGAAATTCCCAGTTGAAGCTCATAAGAAAAACGTTACTGAATTCTTGGTTCATAGTCTATGTGGTTGCTGCCTATCTGTCTTCGAATTAATAAGTGCTGATTTTACGTAACATCAAGAATTTCATTAGGGCAACAACGAGGCCTACTTAAGATGAACAAGTCAGTCTACATGATACCAGTCGGTTATATTCAACGCAGAGCCTGGAATTAGATATCTTTAGGTAAAGAGTGATCACTCAACAAAACAATTAAAATTGGGTAACGTACCTCCTGGTCATCATCAACGTTTGGAACATCATTCCATGATGAAGAATCACCCTGATTAAGATTACGTATCCAAGATCTAGCCATTGGATACAGAGGAGCGTTTTCGCTAAACTGTCCAAAGTCCACACTTCTCTCAAAAACCTTTATGACAAATGATTCTAAAATGTTAGTAAATATTAATTCCTCAGAACCTTTGTATGTTTCTTCTTCTTCAGATGGTACTCGTCGTTTCTTCCTTTTAATATCATTCGGAGATACTTTATAAAATGGACTCCTAAACTTTTCTTTTTCTGAAGAATCTCGCCGACCAGCCATTTCATCCTTATACTTGGTGCTGGTCTTGCTAAAAAATATGCCCATGAATGTCCATCATAAATGAGAATCGTACGTCTTAGCTGGGTCCTCTTTTAAGATCTGCAGCAACGAATCCAGTTTGTCACGAGCATACGAAAGTTCGGTTTCTATGAGGTTAATTTAGTGACAAGTGACAAACCTTCTTGATCAGCCCACCAACCGGTTTCGTTCCAACATGAACTCATTTTTAAGCAGTGTACTTAGTCACTGAACAACAGGAGGAAAAAAAACCAATCCACGTACAATCGTTGGCTAGTAGGCAGTCTGGAGCAAGCAAATAAAAAGGTAAATATGTACAGCCAGTAGTGAGGCGGGTGAAAAGCCTGTTAATGAGCAGTTAGAAAGGATGCTTTACATACATAACTAAACAACATTCTCATATACATGTTAAAAGTCGGAATTTAATATGAACACATGGGAATTACTAACTAACTAAGCTCTTGTGTGTAGGTTTGAGACAAACGTTAACGAAAACAAAAAAAAGCTATATGAAACCCTTTTTATTATTGAGTTGCTAAACGGAGATGCTGTAACCTGTCCATAGCACATGAAGCATTACAACAGAATAAAATAATAAACATAAACCTCGATCTATCTGCTTTTGCGACGCGCAAGTGTATTTACTTCTAAGAGATCATTTGATGATAATCAATTTAAAATAATTTTATAGAGCCGTATACGGTTTTCTTTTTAGTGCTCAAACCTTATTTTAGCAAATACGTATCTACTGAAATAAGGTTTGAGCATTAAAAAGAAAACCCTACCACCGGAAATTAAGTTGACAACGTGGTTCAACCAAAACTTGCCTAGTTAAACGAAAGTTTTATAATGTTTGAAAGGTTAAGCTACACTATTCGGAAGGAACTATCCAGATTTGCAAATTGTGACTTGGTCTTTCTCCATAGGTCCTCTGATACGAATTGTGCGAATTCAACACCAATGCTTAGAGTAATAATAAACATCGGCTGTTGACAATGATAAACGCTGACAATTGTCATTATACATTAATGTACGCTAATCAGTATATAACGATGAGGTAGAACTTTCTACCAGGGCGAGATATCCGTCTATCAACCAAAGGACGTGTTTACTGCGCAGCAGTTCGTTCCGTCCTACTTTATGGCAGTGAAACATGGCCGGTAAGAGTAGAGGATATCCGTAGGTTACTAGTATTCGATCATAGGTGTCTTCGAAACATTGCTCATATATCATGGGACCATCGAGTAAGTAACACAGTTGTTAGGAAACGGGTACTAGGTAAGGATGGCAAATCAATTGATGACGTAGTGAAACTTCATCAGTTGAGATGGCTGGGACACGTGTTACGTATGCCCAACGACCGACTGCCTCGACGTGCTATGTTCAGTGGTATAGGAGAAGGTTGGAAGAAAGCTAGGGGCGGCCAGACCAAAACATGGCACAAGTCCATGAAGTCACTGACAAGTGAACTGAGTCATGTTGATAGGTGTAGACTACCTAGTTGGGGACCGCGAGATGACAGCAACCGATGGTTAGAGACCCTGAATGACATGGCTCAAAACCGTTTGCAATGGCGCAGGTGCATCCACTCTCTGTGTTCTCCCAAACTCTAATCTTCTGAATTCTTCATGTCCCTTTTTTCCTCTTTCCAAATTTCTTTCACTGGATTATACTCTTTAAATAACATCTCCAAACCCTAATCTTCCCGATTACTGCTTATACTCTTGCTACCTCTACCACTACGGGATTTGAATCGACCACTGCATCTGTGTGCTAATGTGGTGTGGCAACTCGAACTGATGTACGTACGTACGAAGTTCTACGTTGTTACTGACTGACTGACTGACTGACTTTCTACCAGACACTAAAATGCCCATATTTAAACACATAGACTTGAGGTTGAGTACGGCTTCACAACAAACAGGTTACTAAAAAATATTTTCACCTACATATTGATACATAAAAACACACAAAGCAGGTTCTTGAGTACTTCAGGGTCAAGTAGCGGTTACCTTATTGGTCCGTTTACTTTAGCCGCAAGTAGCCTAGGTTTGTTTGCCGTACTTCAATATACAATATACGGCTACCTTGTAGGTTTCATCTCAATGTTGTCGGAAATTCCACGACAATGTGGATCCTAAACGATGAAAGTTCATGCTAGGCTATGGGCCTATTGGCTTTGGCCTGCAAGAAAAACGATGGCGGAAGCACTGACGATGAAGAATGTGTCAGTGTAGTAAGTGGTGCTACTGGACCCATTAAACACCTGACTGCGGTTGACGGGAACGTGAAATCTCCGTTGACATTAACAAGAAATGAAGTGTCGCTTGATAATGACATCGGCAGTCTTACACCTCTAGTCGAAATAGAAGATCCGGATAAAACTGTCACCGTTCCACATAGTCCAGGTGTGGCTGTCCTGAGTGGTGACAAATGGACTTCAGTAAGGAGAAAAAGAAATGGGAAGAAAAAGGCTGTGGGCAAAACGCAGCTGGTCAGCAAGACATTGGAGGGGATGTTATCAGAAGAAAAATCCTCACCGCGTGAAAAGACAGATCTCTCTAATATATCAGTCATTTTTCATAAGATAAGAGAATCTTCAGATACTGAACCAAAGGCAAGATTTGAACATGATCTCAATCATATTAAGACATCATTAAGTAAACTACCCCCAGATACAGTTTCAGGAGTTAGTATTTGTAAGCTTTATAGAATAGGAAAAAAGGTGGATTCCGAAAGTCCTCAGAAAAACCGCCTCCTAAAGGTTACATTCAACACGGTGGAAGAGAGGAACCTGATTCTAAGTAATTCACGTAAACTGATTGGATCCGGAATATATGTCCGTGAGGACCTCAGCCTAGCTGATCGTATTAAGGGAAGAGCTGCAGAAGCGGAAATAAACGAGCGTCGCCGAAACGGTGAAAGAAACCTCGTTCTTAAGGGTTTTCAGATTGTAAAAGTTCGGAGCAAAACGATCCCCAAGCCACTCTGGGTGGCAAGGGAAATCTCTCCACAGACTTAAAAGTATGCTACACAAATGCTCGCAGACTACTAAATAAAATGGCGGAGCTGAAGTCAGTGGTGGATAAAGACATATTGCCCAATATAGCGCAGCCCCACTGACTGTGATATTCAATATGTCACTTGACCAAGGTGTGTTACCTATGGACTGGAAGGACGCAATCGTCACTCACATACATAAAACAGGTCTACGACAAGTTCCATCGAATTACAGACCCGTAAGCCTCACCAGTGTTGTAATTAAAATACTGGAAAGAATAATCAAACGGACCATAACGGCATTTATGGAAACCAATAACTTGCTGAACATGGCACAACATGGTTTTAGAAAGGGTCTATCCTGTACAACGAACCTCCTTATAGCTAGGGAGCTCTGGATTAATGCGCTAGACAACGGAAACTCAGTGGATGTTGTCTACATAGACTTCAGTAAGGCTTTTGACAAGGTGCCAACTAATAGACTGCTATTGAAGTTGGAAAACCTTGGTATTGCCGGACCTCTTTTAAAATGGATTAAGGATTTCCTAGTAGGTCGTAGACAAAAAGTAAGAATAAATTCCAAGTGCTCCATCTGGAGACCAGTACTTAGTGGAGTACCTCAAGGTTCCGTCCTAGGTCCTTTACTTTTTATAATGTACGTAAATGATCTTACAAGTATAGTACAGTCTCCAATGTTATTATACGCTGACGATGTAAAAATTTGGCGAGTAATAACTGGAGACAAAGACGCATTTACTCTTCAGGCAGACTTAAATAATATGATAAACTGGTCTAAAGAGTGGCTGATGCCTATCAACGCAGCAAAGTGTGTCTACATGCACTTGGGGGATTCAAAGGTTAATAACGTACAACATAGGGGATGTGTCATTACCCGTAGTCCGGTCTCATAAGGACCTAGGGGTGACAGTGAGCAATGATCTTAAGACGACGGCCCATTGCCGGGAGGTCGCAGCCAAGAGGTTTCGAACCCTCTGGGCTTTAAAAAGGACATTCACTAAGTTAAATACTGCAATGTTCACCAGTGTACACAACCTTAGTGAGAACTAAGCTAAAGAACTGCGTTCAGGCTGCAAGCCCCTGTTTAAAAGGTGACTCGGACATACTAGAAAAAGTACAAAGGGCAGCTACCTGTGCAATTCCGGAACTCCGGGGTTTATCATACAAAGAGCGGCTTGAAAAACTGGACCTCTTTACTCTGTCCTATCGCAGACTAAGGGGAGATTTAATTTTGATGTACAGAATACTGAGAAATGATTTCGGACCTAACTTATTCTCTCTCTTTCTTCGCACTAGATCAGGACACCTCATAGGACATAGCAGGCGAGTGGAAAAACCAAGAACGAACAAAATACCCGTGGCATACAGGTGTTCACACCGAGTCATCAATACTTGGAACCTGCTGCCTGAAGCAGTGGTGTCCGCACCTTCAATTGACTCTTTCAAGAGAAGACTGGACACTCACAGAAGCATACTAGAAAAGGAATAACATAGGCCGTAGGCCTTCTCTCTTTACTACACAAATCTGAATCTGAATCTGAACTAAACTTCATTGTAAACATACTGTAGCTGTGAATAAATCTCCAAAATCAATAGCTTTGTGGGTCTTCAACATTTGGTTCTGACCACATTATTTTAATTGGACTCACCGGGGCTAAGGTGCTCAATCACACATCCACACCAGGTTATGAGCGGGTACGCTATACTTCGCATAGCTTTTAACAGTAAGCCAGCTTAGACCTTGTCGGTAAATAAATCTTCAAAGGCATTGTCAAGCTCTGAATATTTGTGGCATCTTCAGACCCGATGTTCATCGACCTACTAGTGGCATTCCGAATATAACTTCGAATCCTTGCTTTTTTGTCTTCTGATTTGACTGGGTCTGTATATTTCGAGGATAGAGATAGAAGTCTTCTACCTGAAGTTTGTACTGATGATGTCGTTCAGAAGAACGATGAAAGCTCTACGACCAAACCATCCAGCTCAGAGAACAAAACTCCACCCAAATCATCCACCTGAGCTACAAATATTCTTCACCATCTCAATGTACAGACATTCGTAGACGCATGTGAGTACATAGTTAGGAGTTATTAATTATTTATATGAGTGGGCAAAAAATAATCACTGGAATTGTAACTGGCCATGAGATAACTAAGCAGTCCATGAATATTTTTTTAACACTGCTCCA